ATACCAACGGAATTATACATTTGTAAAGGTCAAGGTCTATACCCACGGCAAATTTTTTTTAAATTTTTGACGGTCTATACCAACGAAATTATCCATCTGTACAGGTCAGGTCTATACCCATGGCAAAATCTCTTAAAATTTCTCAGGGTCTATACCAACGGACAAATCTTCCATCGGAATAGATCCCAAGGTCTATACATACGGATTTGTTGTCGGTATAGACCCTATACTGACGGAGTTTGCACCAACTGAAAGGACTTCCGTTGGAATAGACCCGGGGGGTCTATACTGACGGAAAAAGGGTGTATACAGACAGAAAAGTTCCATCAGTATAGGTGCATCTGGTTGTAGTGAAATTCGCGTACTGCTTGGTTTCTCGCCAATTCATCGATACACCAGTCTGCAGCACCCTGGTTTTGGAAACTGGGTCTAGCTCCAATGGTGAGGATGAGCAAATATGTGGAGGAGGAGGAGAGAAAAGGGGTCTGGGAGGGTGATTGGGTAAGGAAGGACGATGAGAGTGCGATAGTTGTGGACCCTACTCACAAAAAACATTTTTGATGTCCATTTCCAAGTTAGCGAAAATTGCTTTAGTTAATTATCTGCCATATAGGAAAAAAATGAGCTGGCAGCAAAATAATTACCACGTCATTTAAAGAGTGCCACATAATCGATGAGCCAATGGAAGATAACGAGCATGTGCGAGTCATGTAACTTCTCAGTTCAATTTTGGGTTTTTCACTCGTTTTTTAAAACTGTAGGATGTTGACTAAAAAAAAAAATTTAAGGGTATTGACCATAAAAATAAATAATATAAAGGATGTAAATAGGAAGATTTGATCATATATTTTTTTATTTTTACAAACTAAATGAAGAATGATTTTTTTTTATCTTAATAGAAAATGAAATATTGTTGGAAAGTTATTTCAGTACCTATTGATTCATTTGAAATATTTATGTTAGTTAACTTACAATTCATTTAAGGGCAAGTTACTAAGACTAAAAAAACAACTACAAGTAATTATTAAAATTTAATTAATAGTATGTTTGGATTGAAAAAAATAAAAAAAAAATTAATTAATTAAAAAAAAAATAAAAAACTTCATTTTCCTTCTCAATTTTTCTTAATCTAAACATATCATAAAATTCAACATAATATTAACAATACGGGTACAGAAATCATACATCGTGTCATAAACAAGTCATTGCTTCTCTTCAATCATTAATGTGGCATCGAGGATTGGATTATGGATCCCGCTGAGAAAGTACGGAAAAGATCAATATGTTTCTCTCTGGTCCCTCAATAGGCAATTTCTCATGACTTGTGCTAACTTGGAAAAAAAAATTAGCCAATTATCAAAAGAATTGAAGGCCTCACGTCCTCCTTAATCTTCATCCATGCATGCAAAGTCTTCAATCCGAAACCAAGACTGAAGTTCCAATCAAGCTTAATCATTGCCGTAAAAAGAAATTTCATCCGATGTCAAATCATTCCAGCTTGATACCTGTAACTTGAAATTGGAACAATAGCTTGCAACGGTGTCAACATCACATCCTCGACAAAGTGCTGGACTGACAATTACATGGCAGAAGTGTTACTACTGAAACTGTAATAACTATAAAGATCTTTATCAGATAGCTCATCATGGCGCACCGAAACCAAATGGGTCTGTAATCAGATATCGTGGAAACCATGAACAAAAGTTCCTGCAGGCTAAAGAGTAAAGTATTTCCCTTTTTCTTTTTCTCTTTTCGTGATTTTAAAATTGAAAGCCATAAATTTTGCATGTAAAATACGTGGAATGGTTGAAGAAAAGAAAAAAAAAATGAAAATTAAGGTATCTTAATATTTAAAATGTTAAAATTTTGTCAATTTAAATAGTTCCATAATAATATTTTTAGTGAAAATAAGAAATTTTAATTTTAAATTGCATGACATATAAGTAGGATAGATTAAAAAATGACAAAAAGTTATTTTTTATTATATAATTTAAAGTTAAAAAAAAAAGTCAAGTT